TTTGCTCAAGTCTCCTCTCATACCCCCTATTGTCTCCCTCGCCTACGGAGACTCCAATTGTAGGATCGCCAGGGGTGAGACTGGCTTCCTCGATTGTACAAAGCCTAGCACGGAGGGTTCTCACCCCCTTTGGAACGTCCTAGAAAGTCTGGGTTTTTTTCCTATGTGATCTGGTCTTATGAATTTGGGAGTCATATCCTCAGATACTGCAATTGAGCCTCATTCCACTGACTTCAGTGGAACTAGGCTGATTCATGCTGAGTGCATCTACACAAGGTGTTTACTGCGTAGCTGCCTAATTAGCTCCGCAGTAAAGTCTCACCATCTACACATGCAGCCCTATTAGGCTGCAGGAAACTAACTTTGCCATAGGTTAGTACTTAGAAATACTAGTAATATCCTGCGGCAGCGTACTTAGTGTGCAGCAGTACATGTGGAGACACTGATGAGGTTAGCTGGGGCACAAGGGTGCTTCAGGGTGGGGGCTGCCTGCCAGCAAGCCCCGCACTGGAGCACCCTCATGCCCCAGCCAGCCCCTCCGCGGCACACTGAGCCAAGGGGAGCAGCCGTGGGCTGGCAGGCTGAGCCTCAGGGACCCTTGCCAGCTGGGGCTGCTCCGACCTGGCTTAATGTGCTGTGGTCCCAAGCACACATGCAAATGTGACACTTGGGAGCAATAATCTCCGGCGCAATATGTGCCAGAATTTATTCCTTCACATAAATTTCATACGTAGACATGCCCACTCAGTAGAAGGGCAGGGCAAAGGGGGACACCAGCTGCAGATGCTGATTAGAGGGGGTGGCAGCAGCATCCCAGAGCATTCAGCATCTCTCTCCAGTGCTCAACGCACATGACGCAAACCCCCCTTCATGCTCCAAGTGACTGTTGGCAATAAGCAGGATACAGCCACTTAGGCGCTTCTAAAAATTTGACCTCAAGACTACCTGAAATGACATGCCCTTCTTTTTGTGATGGCACATCCTGCCCTTGCCTTAAGCAGTTACCCCATGAGGTCCCCATCTCATTTGCAAGGTACATTTGCTCCTTTAATCTATGCATTCTTCTGCATGCACAGCAAGCCTGAACTTAGTTAAAAACAGCTGAGCTGAGTTAAAAAACAAGAGCTCCCCTCTAGTTTCTTCAAAAAGTCAGCCCCTCTTAGAGACAACGAATTTAGAGCTAATTGACAACTGCCCACAGGACATCAAGATCACAGGAGCAAATGCAGAGCAGCTGCCTAATAGAGGTGCACTCTGCATGTTGCATGCAACATTCTCCAAAGGGCACTCTTTTCTGCGAGACTTCCTACTGCCGTCATCTTGATGTTCATCCAGAGACGAAAATTAGGGATTATAGGAATGTGGCTCATCAGACATAATCCAAAAATCCCACCTGGCTGGATCTTTCAAATGGATTTGAAAATGGAGAGAGATATAAAATGGTACAGCACAGGCTGTCTTCACTGGCAGAAGTGGTGTGGGGTTTTGTTTTTTTTTATCAAGGGATAACTAATGCATAAATCCCGCTGTTGATACTTAGCGTTGGCAAGGCACTTTCATGTTACCGAGCAGCAAATTAGGTGAGGTCAGCCACGGGTTAGAGTCAGTGCTGAGCTTGCCGAGCTATCTCGCTGCAAGTGCCTTGTCTCTATTTAGAGTTGTAAAGCTAGTATTTGCTTTACACTGGAATCAAGTCTTCTGTGTCAGGAAGACAAAATCTCGTCGCTTGTGACATTTAAACCAATAGGATTGTGCTATGTACACTAACTAAAGTCAATTGTGAGGTGTTTGTCTTCTCCATCACTGATAAGAAGTTGTTTGATGAGCATCCCTCAAGTTATGTAGTCTTGTCTCATGAAAGAAATCTAATTGAAGGGTTTACATTAACTCCAAAGCCTTTGGAAGTCAGTAAAAGCTTCAAGGGTCTTAGGCACTTCAGAAGTTGGCCCCAGAGTGGGTAAGGGAGCCATTAGAAGCGGGGTGGGAGGATCAGTATGGTTTAAAGTTGGATTGGGGCCCACCTGTGTGAGCTTCTGACAAAATAGATTGTTGCTAACAAATGCTCATGCCTTTCTGAACCTGCCACTAAGGTGCCACCTCGCCCTATTCTTCTGCCTGGCTTTAGACCAGTGGTCTCCAAAGTGGGGTGCACAAGATGATCCATTGGGGTGCAGGAAGAAAATATTAGAACTTCTATTTATATAGATAGGGTGCGCGATCAAAAAAGTTTGGAGACCACTGCTTTAGACTAACACAGCTAATCACCTCTCTGCTCATAGTACCTCCCCATCCTCCCCCCCAGCTACATTAGTAAGATGCATCCAGTTCTTTCTGAAAAAGCAAAACCTAGCATTCGCAGCTTTTATTTGGGGGGAGAAACCATCATTCTACTAGGAAAAGGCACACGGATTGGGGAATTTTATACAAGATGCATATTTAAAGCTGCCCTTCAATCTTACCCACACCTTGCTTTTTCTTTCCTCCTGTAATTGGCTTTGTTCTGCTGTGTTCAGTCCATGACCTGTGACAGATACATGTTTTCCGAGACAGGAGCTGTGCTTTTGCTGATGCCAGCCATATGTTAATGTACTCTGTTCTCCTGGTTTCACGGATACAGTTGGCCTAACTGTTCCAATGCTCTCTTTTCATTCTGTGCATAACTCCTGTGTTATAAATACATTTTTATTTGCTCTGGTGGTTTGTTGAGAGCCCCAGGTCTCCACTGTGTTGAACCTGAACCTCCTTGCTAATCCCAACCTTTCAAGAAGGCCTAAGTCCAACCACCCCAAAATCATCACAATGATAAAATTTTTTAAAATGTGGATTTGTAATGAGATGTTTATATTTTAGGAATGCCCATAGGACCAGAGAAGAGGATTTAAGAATCACTGAGGTCACACATTCAAAGAAAGATTACCTTGCAGACATAAGCAGACACGACAGTTCTCCGGTAAACAGGGAAGTCACTGTTGAGTCTGTAGATGAGGAAGTGGATCCAAGATCCACATGTTTGATTGCAGATGGGACAGATAGTTGTAGGAGGCAGGAGTGATGCCAGGTCACAACCCTTTCCCTTTTTTATCATCCATCCACCTCCACAGTAAGGCAAGTTTGCTCAAAATGATCACTGTCTTGTCCTTTGCAGCTATGTGGACTAGAAACAAGCTTCTCTGTGAATAAATGCACGTGTTCACTTGACTTCAGAAGCTGGAGTTTTCCTTCTATCGGGTCCACACGAGCCTAGGAGACCCATTGGGTTAGTATGGTTAAGGCGGTCTGGCTTCCATCGCCAGCAGCATGTCAAGTGTGATGTCACTAGCATCACAACCCCTCACCTCCCGTTTGAACCATCAGTATGAACCACCAATTTTCTCTCCAGTCCAAATAAGCTTGACAGTTAGGTTGGTTAAGGGGGCAGCCTCCAGAACAAATTCAAAGTCAGGGTCAACCTTGCCCCTCTGGAGCAATAGCAAGGCACCTCGGTCTTTCCGTCATTAGGTACTGGAAGAAATAGGAAATGTGTTACATGCCACAAAACCTATGATAAAATCATGAGTTGACAGCATTGCTCACCTGATGGCAAGCAAAACTGACTCAAAGGCAGTGAGGAATCACCCTGATCCTTTGATCTTTATCAGGCTATCTTTTTATAGGGCAGTACAGCAGTAACGCATGAATGCCATTGGAGAGGTGGCCCTGGCCAAGTGGCCGCACTGGGATGGGGCCTGTGTGCCACACACTCAGCAGGTGTCTTGATCTCCCGCTCTCAAATCTAGCCTGCTATGACTTGGTGTAGTTGAAGGGTGGCAATACCTGCCTAACGCAAGAGTTTGCTGAGGTCAGCGTGGGTCAATGCCAGGGTCTTCCATGGGGCTCCTTCCTCCCCTTCACCCCACCCCTTTCTATTCAGGGTGCTAGTCAACTCTGAGTTGGCACATCCAGTTGCCGTGCATGTCCACCTTGCTGCTTAGGCAGGAAATGAAACCGCCAAATTGCCCGGAGTGTGGTTTTAGCCTCACTCACTAGATCCATTTATCAGCTTTGAGGTCAGTCAGGCATAAGGAGGCAAATGCATTAATAATAAGTGAAATGGCTAGGCCACAGGCTCTTCTCTGATCCTACGGGCATGCCGTCCGCCTTGCTTCAGGCAATTCCAGTCTCACAGGGGTTGCCCTGTGCTGGCTCAGTTCATATGGGCCTGCCAGTCCCCAGCAGACCCTTGGGGTGTCACAGACCCCGACTTAGTCCCCAGCGGTACCTGGTCACTCTGCACAGCACAGTGATCCAGCATCGGTTTGGAGGGTTTTGGAGTTCCCAATCTCAAGCTCCTGATCTCCTGCCTCCGGAGGCAAATGTGGTGAATGCCTTCATCCGCCCACGCATCCCCGCAGCCCTGTGATTGCTGCATCCTCATGCGGGGGTTTCTGGGGTGGTCTGGGCCTGTTGGGTTCCTTGTTTGCCCCCACGGGGCTGACGGCAGGTGCTAGAAGCCCCACATCCTGCTATGTTTCTATTTCCTCTGATTCTGGGCCAATTCAGACCCTGAGTATCTTCAAGCTTATGTTCATGAAGGAATACAGTGGCAGGTCCAGGTGTACAGCCTACCCCCCTTGAGTGCTAGTACAACGCCTGAAATGCCAGACCATCCTTCTTCAATTAAAGGACTCCTTTTGCTAAATAGCTGAACGTAAGTGAAGGTTTTTTCAACTCCTGTCCAACCACTGGTTTCTTCTTCCAACAAGGTGTCCATAGCAAAGAGTCTCCACCCAAATCTTTTCTTTATTCCTTTACCTTGCAGGTTTACACGGGATCTCTCTGATTCACACCAAGAACTTCCATTATTCAAAACTAGTGAGCGGATCATGAAACCCCATTATGGTAAGACATAACTAGATTTTACTGGCCAAGTCACCTTATCCTTCTTTTGGGGAATTATGTAATTAACTGTTAAATAAAAACAGTGGTTCATGGTAAGGTGCTATAGACCTAAATTGAATCTGTCCATTTACAAATGTCCTAAATCATAGGAATAGACATGTGGAACTCATGGGACTGCTCATAAATTCAATCTGTATTACACAAGTGAAAAGTATTTCCAAGATAGCTATAGGTACTTTATGCAGATTGACAAGGAGCGAACTGATTGACGGAGACTGGAATGGGAAAATATACTGAACAATCTCATTTTCTGTTTTCCTGGGGAAAGTCTATTAGTCGCCCCCGAGGGGGGAAAATATTTGAATGCATACAAGTCTAGAATTGGCCAAGTGACAGGCTCTTCCGCTTCAGTTTAGAGTCACAAGCATTGATTAACATACTTTTCACTCCAAACTCCTAATGAGTTTTCAGGCAAGGCTTGTTCTGCTTTTGTGCCTTCTGCAGAGGCCTGGGAAACAGAGGAATTCATTTTTTTTTAAACCTGTAAAAATATCAAGTAGCCCAGAGCTATGCCCAAGGCATGAATGAGGTATGTAAAACATAAAGAGCTAGCTACAGTTCATGCTGTTGATCAAGGAAGTAATTTGCCAGTATGTAAATATAGGATGTACGTCTGTTTGCTGCAAAAGTGAATTCAGGTTCCTAAAAGGTACATATAGGCACAGTTTTGGTCTATTTGTAGTAATGCAGAAAGGCACAAAAGGGAAGGATGTAGTCTCTTCCTGGGGTTGAGAGCAGGAAGGGAAAAGTCCTGGGACTTGACACCTTCTAGAGGAAAGTCCTTGCCTTGGTGTTACCAGCAAGTGCTTTGGATCTGAGCAATAAACTATGCTCTAGAGCAGGAGTCACCAACCAGGAGATTACAATCAACTGGTCCGTCATGGAGCTTCTGACAGGCAATCTCAGTCTCAGTCCACCATCTCCATAGGCGGAGGGAGAAAAAATGATTTTTGGGGGGGAGGGGAGGGGTTCTGCCCCCACTTCC